AAGCGGATAATGGTCGTTTCCCGTTTTCGTGGCTTGAACCGAGATGTCGGACGGAAACAGGACTGAAACAGGACTAATCTGGTCTCAGTCCTGATCATTTCCAGGCCCGTCCTGACACTCCTGGTTTAGTCCTGGTTCAGTCCGACATCACAGTTTAAGTCACGGAAACGGGAATCGGCCGTTATCCGTTTTTTCCATTTTTCATTTAAACACAAAATCAAAAACTGAAAAAATGAATTGTTTTCGGTTTCTGTGACTTCAAACTGCGATGCCGGACTGAACCAGGACAGAACCAGGACTAAAACAGGACTGAACCAGGAGTGTCAGGACGGGCCTGGAGGTGCGCCTGCGTAGTCGGGTGATCAGGACTGAGACCGGTTTAGTCCTGGTTTAGTCTTGGTTCAGTCCTGGTTTAGTCTTGGTTCAGTCCTGGTTCAGTCCTGGTTCAGTCCTAGTTCAGTCCTGGTTTAGTCTTGGTTCAGTCCTGGTTCAGTCCTGGTTTAGTCCTGGTTCAGTCCTGGTTCAGTCCTGGTTCAGTCCTGGTTCAGTCCGGCATCAAGGAAACGGGAAACAGTCGTTATCTGTTTTTTCCATTATTCGTTTAAACACAAAATCGAAAACTGAAAAAAAATTATCGTTTCCCGTTTCCGTGACTTAAACTGCGAAGCCAGACTGAACCGGGACTGAACCAGGAACTAAAACGGAACTAAAACAGGAGTGTCGGGATGGGTCCAGATATGCGACGGATGATCAGGACTGAGGCCGGTTTAGTCGCTTTTTAGTCCTGGTTCAGTCCTGCTTTAATTCTGGTTCAGTCCTAGTTTAGTCCTGGTTCAGTCCGTATGCGGCGCAAAAGTCCGGCATCGCGGTTTAAGTCACGTAAACGACCGTTATCCAGTTTTTTCCATTGTTTTGGAGACAGAATAATGAAGAAAATTGTTGCTTTTTTTCATTGTATTATTTTCGGTTTTATTTTGAAAAACAAATGCACGAACGACACACGGATTTACGTCGCCATTTCAGCCGTCCTAATTTGTCAAACCACATTTAAACCATTTTTAACACCACTCGCTTGTAGGACACGAATATGCAATTTTCAACGGTGTTCGATATAAAGGCCAGTAGGTAAAATGTAAAATACTTCAATGCAAATAATTCTACGTTAATTCTGTCTGTGTCATTGTGTAGAAGGTTGAAGATTGTGTCTAGACGGCTAGTTAAAGGGCATTTAAAAAAAACAACAACAAAAAACAACTTTATTAAACATGGAAAGTGACCAAGATTCGTAATATCAGACCTTGTACGTTGCTCGTCGCTGCTGCCTGGACGCTCATCTCGTCGACCCTTGGACACTGTATCCCTCCTCCTCTGGGACTAGATGAAAAAAAAATAAAAATGCAGACTTTTAAGACTTGGTTGATGCAACATATCACAACGGCCCGCACCCTTTTTGCCCCCCAATTGCGCCCCCTACGTATGTGTCAGAGGAACTGTATGGCATCGTCTCCCATAGACTTTGAATACTGGACACGTTGAACTGATACTAGCCAGAGAGCTGAAACGTCTCTGTAGGATTAACCCTTTTTTGTCTTTCGTTTTGTTTTATTTTTTTTGTTTTTTTCCTTTGGCAAAAAATGATTAAAAAGAAGAGATGAGATGTGACTATGTGTACAAGTATAGAGGAGTGTGTGTTTGTCTTGTCTTTGTCTCGTGCAGAGTAATAAGACTTGTGTTCGTAGACGCAAAAAGCAGTTCTTGAAATTTATTCCACTCTGAACTAAAATCCGTGGTTAACGTGGCCAGTAAAAATCAGATGACTGGAGTAATCTGATGTCTATATATGGAAAATCTGATCTTATTACTGGGTTGTCA